TAAAGCCAGTCACCAGATGCTACTAGTTCTTCTTCTAACATGTTCCTAAACCCATTCTTCCTGTCCAGTGCCACTGCCATAAATCCAATCTGGATCCTCATGGCTGCTCACTAGCTCCCTGTATAAGCAGCAAAGGCATTTTCCAACCTGTGTACCTAGCATAGAGTGGGCCCTGTAGCCCAAGGTGACATCGCCTGAAAGAACACAGTGGGATGATGGTACTGAGAAAGCAGAGACATTTAAGTCTGAGAAATGCAAGCCCTTTGAATTATCAAGCCCAGAGGCACTGAAATGTGACAACAGTCACATCATATACCCCCCACTCACCCACAGAGCTCAGTAATCCACCTACAAGAGGTACTCTAGACTTGAGTGTTACCACCAACAGCCATACATTAACCTAACAATGCCACTCGCTGGACACCATAACTCAGACCCTATAGTTCAACAATGTATAGCCAGTTACCAGTCAATGTTATTTCCATAAACCAGTGAGAATTCCTGACAAGCAACTTTTGTAATCATTCCCTCTCCTCATTTGTCGTCCTTTTTTCTCTAAAAACTCGAGCCTCCCCTTTGTTCTCCAGAGAGCTTTCAGTATTTCCAGGCTGTAGTCAGCCCAGATACTCTTTATATTAATTTTGCCTCAGTTTCTTTCTTTAGGTTGACAATATTAGCAGCAAGAATTCTCAGAATTACAGATTGGAATGAGCAGGGCCAATGACAGCTTCACCCACCCTATATGGCAACAAATCAAACTACGCCGGGCTCAGTGACTCAGCCTGTAATCCCGCACTTTGGGAGGCTGAGGTGAGTGAATTGCCCGAGTCCACGGGTTCGAGACCTGCTTGGGCAACTTGGCAAGACCTCATCTCTACAATAAATCAAAAAAATTTAGCCGGGCGTGGTAGCATGCGCCTGTAGTTCCAGCTACTTGGAAGGCTGAGGCAGAAGGATCTCCGGAAGCAGCCACTGCACTCCAGTCTGGGCGACAGAGTGAGACTCCAACTAAAAAAAAAAAAAACAAATCAAACTAGTGCATTTGCTAAATCACCCAGAGAGCAAGACTGGTTCACACCTATCTTTAGGATTGAGACATAATTGACCATTTGCTGTGCTAATTTTTTAAATAAACTTATCCCATAAACTAGAATTTTTAAAGTATCAGATTACTTAGGACCAAATGTTTAAATGTGGCCTGTTCAGGCTCTTGGCTGTTCTTCATTCTCATTATTACCTGACTGTGTAACTGATGGCTCCCTGGCAGTAAAGTGCTGGGAAGAAAATATAAACAAAATCAGCAAGGATTACCAACTTCCACCACTGAACTCAATAGATTCCCTCCATGCACCATAAATGTTAAAGCACTGGTAATAAAATGTTAATCTGCTCATCCCATCCCTGGCTGGTGATCATGGACATTGCCTGTAGCCTTCTGTCTAAGAATGACTGTGGTGAGCACCTGTGTTCCAGTGTCTACGTCCGTGTATATGGGAATCCTATCTGTAGGCTGCTATGTGGAAGCATGCAGATGCCTGGGATTCTGATAGCAGCAAATCTATTTGTAGACGTTAGCTGATCTCAAACCGGTTCCTTTCTAGATTTGGCTGACAGATTAGAAGTGTAGAGAGGAGGATCTGAAGATAAACCAAGCAGACACTAAAGAATGGTGAAACATGCTGACGGGAGGAGAAACAGCTGAACTCCATTTCTGTTTGCACAGAGGTGACTGGGTGTCCCAAGGGGAGAACTGGGGGGAGCTCACATGAAAAATTACAAAGGGCTGTTGGTGTAAATGAGATTAGGCTAGCTGTGTCTGCTAGCTGATAATGACAGTAGTTAGGACTATCTGTTCCCACAGGGACAGAGGTCCTATCCTTCCGAATATACTGCAAAGATACCTCTGAGTTATAGGAGATATAGAAGACATCACAAAGGAGCAGAGAAGGACTCATTTTAAGCCCTTTAAAACTCTCTAAGATGATGGGGGGGAGAGGACACAACATCAATAAGGGTAACTGATCTCAAACCAGGCAAAGTGGGGACCAAAGGGAGGCCCAAACTTTACCTGTACAATGTTCACTTGTATACCTAATCCTGAATTGTACCCCACATCTTTACAATAAAAAATTTTTTTAAAACTCTCTAAGAAAGTCAGGGAACTATCCTCAGGTATTGATTAGGACAAAGAGTAAATTATTTTGACAGCCCTGAGCTTTTCCAAACAAGAACTCAAAGTGGGGCTGGATCGTTCCAGAGACGTGGCCTTAGGCTGCAAGAAGCCATGTTAAAGTTTGGTCAAGACTCTTAGTGCAGGGGTTAGAATAGAGTGCTCATGCTGAAAGTTTCTGCAGTTCTCAGGAAGAACCCCACACACGTATTAGCAAGGACCAACCTCAGAGAGCCCACTGTTTACTCTAAATTATTTAGCCTTTCTTTTCTTTTTTTTTTTTTTTTTTTGGAGTAGGAGTCTCACTCTGTCACCCAGGCTGGAGGGCGGTGGCACACTCCACTCCCGACCAACACAGTCTCAACCTGCTGGCTCAGGCAATCCTTTCCGCCTCAGCCTTCCAAGTAGCTGGAACTACAGGCACCCGCCACCACGCCTGGCTAAACATTTAGCCTTTCTAAAAGCAGAATGAAATAGCATTGCACCATACTTAAACAGCTAACACCACTAGTTCATATTCCTTTTTTTTTTTGAGTTGGAGTCTCACTCTGTCACCCAGACTGGAGTGCAGTGGCCGCTCCCCGGCCACTGCAGCCTCGACCTACTGGGCTCCGGCGATCCTTCCGCCTCAGCCTTCCAGTAGCTGGACTACGGGCGTGCACTACCATGCCCGGCTAATTTTTTGATTTCTTATAGAGATGAGGTCTCGCCAAGTTGCCCAGACGGGTCTCGAACCCGCGGGCTCAGGCAATCCACTCACCTCAGCCTCCCAGAGAAAGAAAATCTTACAAAGATATCTCATCAGCCAAACACACCGGTAGTTAGAAGACAAAAGTATAATGCCTTCAAAGTTCTGGGAAAGTAGTTTTGATCCTACATTCCATGCTGAGCCAAATTCTTAAAGAGCATATCAGTAAATATAATAAAGATATTCTCAGAGCATAAAGTTTTCTTACTACATATACTCTTGTTGGAAAAAGTTCCTAAGAATATGCTTCATGGGGAAAAGGGAGAATTTCAAGAAAGAGGAAGAATCTAGAAATAGTAGCTTAATTCAGAAGTACAAGGAGAAGGATGAGCGCTCTGAGAAGATCTAGAAAAAATCCCAGTGAGAACAGCAAGTCAGTGAGCTCTGGGAAGAATTTTTTTGTTTTCTTTTTAGAAAGCAGGATTTATTAAGAGGATAGAAAAGCTCCCACAGTGGAAGGGGACCCGAGGGGATTGCCCAGAAGAATTTTTTTTAACTGGATTTCATTAAACAGAAAACCGATTAAATTTAAAAACAGCGGATGTTCTTTGCCAAACAAAAAGGCAAATAGGAACTAATGGAAAATCAAAGGGCCATTTAAGAAAGACATGGTCCAAATATAACATAAACTACATTGTGGTACATAATTTGGATGTAAGAAAAGATGACCTATTTGACCCTGATACCAAGAACATGGCTCTTTGAGGAGAATGAGTTTAGGGATACAGGGCTGCATTTTCTCTACTGGTCCAATCACACTATTTGGTTCTGCTGTGCATACTACCTATATTATCATGATGCTATAGTGTATATTGGCTTTCAATTTAAAAAAACCAACCTATAAACAAATCATAGAAAATGTAGGTTACAGAATAACTTATGGAAATGTAAGGGGAATGGTATGGAAGATGACAGATGTCAGGAAATTCGTGGGTTTAAGGAGAAACGGAGGGCAGGGTAGGGTTTCCTAATCTTAACTAGGAAGATGCTATCTAAGGTGGAGATAACAAAATATACATTCAAGAATATTATTTAACATTGATAGAAAAAACAAAAATAATAGAGGAGGGACAGTAAGAGGAAATGTACGCAAACTAAATAGACAACAAGAACCACACAGCAACACCTAGCACGGATTGAGTGTTAACGGACACAGGCATTGCTCTAAGCTCGCTTATACATAATACCTCATTTAATCATCACAGACACCCTACAATGTTGCTCTTAGTCGTATACCCACTGTACAGACTAGGAAAGAAGACACATTAAGTCATATAGCTAGAAACAAAAGCAACCAGACTGCAATCTCAGCCTCTTGACACGTAACATCTACATCTAAATTCGCTGGTCAACCTTAAAGCTTGGCTCCTCAGTCACGCTAGCCACATTTCCAGATCGCAACAGCAACAACCAGCCAGTGGCGGCCGCGGCAGGTGCAGGCCGACGCCTCCAGCTGCAGAACACACTGCAGCAGGGCTGCTCCCTCCCTACGTGCTCTCCAGGACACGCTGTCTACACTGGAAGCGAAAAGTCAGGGCACAGCATCCCACGTAGGTGACAACAACGACCAGAGGAACTAAAAAAAGCCGCCACAAGTCGTCGATCTCCTGCAGCGTAAACGGGGGCGTTAACATTTTGTACCATTCAATATCGTTCGGAGTTTCCTTTTTAAGAGACAGGGCCTCGCTTGCCACCCAGGCTGTCGTGCGGTGGTGCCACCCCTGCAGCCTCGAATTCCCGGGCGATCCTCCCGCCTCAACCTCCCGAAGAGCTGGGACGACAGGCGCGCGCCGCCACTCCCGGCTGTTCGGATTTCTAAAACTCTCTACAAAGACGAGCTTCTCCCCACGGCGGGAGCGGGAAAGCCCAGCCCTGGGGTCGTTTACGGGCCGGAGCCCCCAATTTCCGGGCCTAGCCGAGCGGGGAACGGCGGCTCAGAGGGAGGGAGGGGCGCGGCTCACGGCCCCGGAAGGAGTCGGAGCAGCTCGGCTACCCAGCGCCCAGCGCGGGCGGGCAGGGGTCCCGAGGTGAGGGCCCGCGCCGCCCCCGCCTCGCCTCGCCCGGACCTCGCGTCGCACCCACCTTCCCAGGCTCCATCGCTCCTCGCAGGCCCGGGTGGCGGCGGGATGCTCAGCCCGGGAACTCTGCGGTCGGCGCGTCCCCGGCTCCTAGCAACAAGCCGCAGCCGCCGAAGGCCCAACGGTCGCAGCCCGGCATACCCCGCGGCCTCTGCCAGCGCGCCTGCGCGTCCCCGGCTACTCGCAGACAGCAGGCAGGAGCAGCAGACCACCGAACGTTCGCTGCCCGGCCTGCCCCGACCGGGGCGTGGGCACGTCTGCGTGTCCTAGCAGCCGGCAGACCGGAGGAGCAGAGGCCCAGCGGTCGCCGGTCTCCGCGGGGCACGGGCCCTTTCTCTGACTCGGGGCGCAGGTGTCTCCCGCCTCGCCCCCAGCCCGCCCCCTGACCGCCGCGGCCTGTTGCGACTGGCGGAAGAGAAGGCCATGAAAAGAGCTCTAAGCCGGCTCGGTGCCTCAGCCTGTAATCCCGCGCTTTGGGAGGCTGAGGTGAGTGGATTGCCCGAGCCTGCGGGGTCCAGACCCGCCTGGGCAACTTGGCGAGACCGCATCTCTACAATAAATAAAATTTTTAAAAAATTAGCCGGGCATGGTAGTGCGCCCCTGTCGTTCCAGCTACGCAGAAGGCTGAGGCGGGAGGATCGCCGGAGCCCAGCAGGTCGAGGCTGCGGTGGCCGGGAGCGGCCACTGCACTCCATTCTGGGCGACAGAGTGAGACTCCAACCCAAAAATAAAAATAAAAAAAGAAAGAAAAGAGCTTTACCCTTGAATAAAGCTTTGCTTTGTCATTCCCATATATTGTCTTTTGATTAAAAACTAGTCTTAGCCGGGCTCGGTGGCTCAGCCTGTAATCCCGCGTTTTGGGAGGCTGAGGTGAGTGGATTGCCTGAGCCTGCGGGTTCAAGAACTGCCTGGGCAGGCGAGACCTCATCTCTACAATAAAATCAAAAAATTAGCTGGGCGTGGTAGCGTGCGCCTGTAATTCCGGCTACTCGGAAGGCTGAGGCGGAAGGATCGCCGGAGCCCAGCAGGTCGAGGCTGCGGTGGCCGGGAGCGGCCACTGCACTCCAGTCTGGGCGACAGAGCGAGACTCCAACTCAAAAAAAAAAAAAAAAAAAAGATGTAAATGTCATGTCACTACCGGCTTTTACAGCACTCTCATCACCAAAAAGAATAACACTACGTCCAGAGTTTTACTAATGCTATTTTCTTTCCCACTATTCCCCATCATGTTTGCTGGATATATGGACTTATGGCTACAGAGGAACCTAAAACAATTATTTTCCTGGCTTTGGCCCCCTCCCCCTCCTTGGGGAGGTGAATCTCCTCTTTCTCTCTCTCTCTGCCTTTCTAATTAAGCTAAATAAAGTATATTTTCTAATCTAAAAAAAGAGAAAAGGAAGGCAGAAAGGTAATTTCTGTAACAGCTATGGTTTTTTTAGTGACTGCTCCAAGCAAGTCACCAGCTAAGTGCCAGCCATTTGGTAATTCACTTAATTCTCACGGCATGTGTGTGAGGAGACGGCAGGTCAGAAAGGTTAATTAGCTTGGTCACCCAGAGAGGCAGGTGGATCTGCTAACATAACAGCCCTTTCCCTTAACCACTATAACACATTATGTCAGCTGAGGAAAAGCTGAGAAAGCTTCATATTCCTTGTTGAATGTGAGAATAAATGTGAGGAATAAAACTGTCACCCGCTATATTTTTGAAAGTCACACACTACATGAATGTCCCAGACATAGTTCCTATGCCCCTTCCTTGCCACCCACCTACAATCACAAACTTTTGTCAGACTGCTTCTAAATTTTATCTTAAATCTGTCCATTTTTCCTCACTCCAGCAGACAACCACCTAAGATGTAAATGTCATGTCACTACCTGCTTGTACAGCACAAAAAGAATAACATCATGTCCAGAGCTTTGCGGATGCCACTTCCCTTCTCACTATGCTTCACCATGTTTGCTGACTATATGGATTTATGGTTGCAGAGGAACCTAAAACACTTATTTTCCAAATAGCTCATTTGCTAATAAGTTATAATTTATCTTATAATATTTCTTCCATCATTTTTATTTATTTACTAAATGACTTACTGAGTTCATTTGATGACCTGGGAATTGATAGAATGCTAAAGATAGAAAGCTAAATAAAACACTATCTGGATCTGGACCTCTAATGGCTCATAATTGTTATAAGAAATATGCAAACAACTATTAAATAATGTGAAAGTGTAGGAACTACTCCTAAAAATGTAGTAGATGAGAAAGTGACAAACGTCTCCCTGGGAGAAAAGCATGAGGTTAGAAAAGGCTTCATTTCCGTTGAACCTTGAAGCCTGAATAATTTACCAGACTGAGAGGCTGGGAAAGAACATCCTGAGGGTAAAAACAAATATGGGTGCAAGGACACACAGGGGAAAGAGTCTGAAGTGTTCTGCAATAATTTACTGTATCTATAACAGCACTGCCCAGTGAAATAGAATGAGGGCGACTTGTTAGTATTCATTTTCCAGTAGCCACGTTTTATTATTTTTCTTTTTCTTTTTCTTTTTTTTTTGAGTTGGAGTCTCACTCTGTCACCTAGACTGGAGTGCAGTGGCCGCTCCTGGCCACCGCAGCCTCGCCTGCTGGGCTCCGGCGATCCTTCCGCCTCAGCTTTCCGAGTAGCCAGAATTACAGGCGCGCGCTACCACGCCCGGCTGATTTTTTTATGTACTGTAGAGATGAGGTCTCGCCAAGTTGCCCAGGCGGGTCTCAAACCCGCGGGCTCAGACAATCCACTCACCTCAGCCTCCAAAGGCGCGGGATTACAGGCCGAGCCACCGAGCCCGGTAGCCACGTTTTAAAACACAAAAAAGGTGAGATTAGATTTAATATATATGAAACCAAATGTATACAAAATGTTACCATTTTAACAGATAGTATATATTTAAAATATTGTTATTTTATATTCTTTTTTATACTGACATCAAAATCCCACGTGTACTTTACACTGACAGGACATCTTAGTTCAAACTAGCCACATTTCAAGTGCTCAAAGCTACAAAGGCTAGTGACTTCCATATTGGACAGCACAGGTCTGTGGCACAGAGTGTCTTGTGACTGGGGATTGTAGGGCAGCTGGAGATGAGGCCGAAAAGAAGGCAAGATCTCATTTGTAAAGAGCCTTGATGTCCTGATACAAAGATACACAGTGTGAGCCTGGGCAATGCTAAGTCACTGAAAAAAGCAAGCTGCCGTTGCACTTTGTGGGATGGACTGGTAGAGAAGGAGAGGAAGCCAGAGATAGCCGGGAGGCTTGTGGCCTCTGTGGACACTGCTCTCTCTTCTCCAGCTTGTGGGCTGGCCATGGCTCCCAGAAGCACTGCACTCTTTCCAGCCACAGAGGCATCTTGCAAACTCTTGCCTGCCTGGAGCAAGCGTCCTTCCAGTCCATGACATGGCTGACCCCATCTTTCCTGGAGTGCTGGCCCAGTGCCATCTGCTGTGAACCCTCCCCACTCAGAGTCCGTATCTGATACATTTGTGAACGTTCTCCCAGGTTCTCTTTTGTATAATTTGAAAAATTAATTTCTAACTCCCTCAGCAGACTATAAGTTAGTTTATAATTTCAGGTTATGATAGACACAAACAAAATGATTTTTTTTCACAATAAGCAACTTTGTTACAAAAGTCACCCACCTTCCTCTCCCACCCTTTTTAGGGTTTGTAGTCTTTTGTGGTCACATGAATATAGTGCTATATTAGCATAATGTCTGTATCTGCAGGTGTTGCACAAGGCCTACCTACAATGTTGACACAAGCAAGATGTTTATACAAGACAGTAGGATCACATTGGCCTAAGCCAGCTGTGGAATCCAGCTAGCTGCCTGAGTCCACGATCCCATGGGCCTCTCAGTAGCTGCAGGAATTTGAGTGATTTGTTTTACTACTTTGTGCTTCAGTTTCTTCATCTATAAAAATGGAAACCACTCTGTAGTAATGGTGAGAATTAAATGAGTAATTAAGTAAAGTAAGTATGTAAAGGCATCTACCATACAAACTAAGCACTCAATAAATGTTAGTTATTAATAATTATATTATGTTGTAATGTTATTACTTGAATCATAAGCATTTATTTATTTATTTTGAGTCAGAGATTAGATTATCCACTATTATAAAAAACTATAAATGGTATATTTTTTGGTATTTCAGAGGGCCAGTCAATGCTCCTGTCTTCTCTCCCCCAGTTAAGAAGCTGTGATAGGCAGAACTCTCCCGACCTCCCCACTGCCCTCTCATGCTCTCCCTATGTCCCTATCCCCCCTCCCTCCCCATCCTGTCCATGCTCCTGATGGTTCCTCTCCTTGAGTGTGGGCAGAACCTGGGAATGTGATGGGTCACTCTTGTGATTAGGTCAGTTGACTTTGAGTTAGTCAAAAAGAGAGATGATTCTGGTGGCCCTGACCTTAAAAGAAGGCACAGCAGCCAGGCTCGGTGGCTCAGCCTGTAATCCTGCGCCTTGGGAGGCTGAGGTGAGTAGATTGCCTGAGCCCACAGGTTCAAGACCCGCCTGGGCAAC